CTGAAGCCGGTAAAAAATCAAAGCGGATTTTCACTTGGAGACACACGCGGTTGCTAGATCCACTATGGACTCAGACAATTTTTTGCATATATTATACGCAGTAGATTTCGTCACACCAACCCTTTTCGCTATGTCAGCAAAAGATATTTCTTCTAAATACAGCTTAACTATTTTTAATAGGAATCCCTGTTTACTCCGCAACATGATGACTGTGAATGTGACAGTCACAGTCAACGAGTGCGTGATTGGACTGTCAGAAGCGGCGACTTGAAGTCTGGGTGCGTCGCGAATGTATCAAAACAAACTTGATTGTAGCAAAACAACTTCAACAACATTGGAAGCAATTGCTGTACATTTACCGACAATGTTGATAATAACTTGCTGTAGTGTAGCAATATTTAGTTAAACATAATCGTTCAAAGAATGACTGAAACTATAGTAAAATTATATTTGTGAGTTATTATAGGGTGATTTTAGAAATTTCAAACAGAAAAAGTGTGAGCATAAAAAAAAAAAACACGCAAAAACACTTATTTTGCACTTGCACAGCACAGTACCTCATGTTGACGAATTAAATGAACCTGCAAACAATTTCTTTTGCAAAGCCTAATACTGGCTTTCAAAATTGTAATACTGCAAAATTATCTACCAGGTAACAAGGCTGGTATGCTGCCAAAAGTTTCAACTTTGTTTTCCTCAGTGATCCCACATTAAAGTCAAGTAATAGGTACATAGTTTATAGATAAATTATTTTAATTACCAGCTGATAAAATGACAGCGGATCCTATTCCTAATCAGTTTTGTACATGACATGACGAGGTTTGTTAAGTAATTCTATTCCTCTGTAATTGAGATATTGGATCATAGAATGACATGCAGTTGCTTTATTCTCATTTAGTTTTGATGTGCCAGTAAGAGTTACTTAGGGTCCTCTCACCCCTCGGCTCCAGTGCTCTCACCCAATTTTAATTGTGTATGTCCCTCTTTAGGACATATATAGTTATTTGGATGTGCATATACAATTACATTTGGGGACTGGAGGGTTATGGTTCAGGTAAGGGGAGCGCTTAGGCAAGTTATTTTCAGATTTTCCATCTCATTGTGACCATGTACTAAGTTTACCAAGTATATTTACCATTTTGTCATTATTGAAATACTAAAATGAGAAAAGAAAGAATTGCTCATAAACCATCAACAACTCGTCTCAGAACTTTAGAAAGTCATTAGATTTATGAAATAGCAAGTGAGCTTTTTGTGCAATACATTTTGAATTTTGTTAGAATATTTTATAACTTTTTTTAAATTTACCTAACTACAGAGCAGCTACCCGTCTCGGGCAGTAGGTGATGGGCAATTTTACTGGGTTTAACTAGTAGAAGAAGTTTAGTAGGAGATTGGATCTCGAACATAACACTCTGGTAGTTGGATAAAGCTAAGACTTACTGCTAACGTCTCTGATTAAATAAATTTAATTGTCATCTTTGTATTTGCTACTTCACTCACTCTATGCAGGTGAACTAGAAAGTAATATCACAGCGGAGGCATTCAGAGAATACAAAGCGTTACAGGAAAAAAGGCAAGCAATACTTGAATCCATCAAAGATCTGACGGAAACTAAAGACTCCCAGGTGAGAAAACTTGACTCAAAATTACCCTCTGGCACAGAAGAGGGGTGTCCACTTACTATTTCTTTATACTTAAAATGTAACACAGGCATTAAAGCTAAATTTTTATGGGGGTGGGGGTGGGGGGCTTAACTACTATTGTGTAAGTCATCTCTGATTTGCATCTTTGTATTCATCTTTTGGATTGATAAAGCTTAGTAAAGTAGGAGAAATAAAACAAAATAACATTGTTTGTACAGTGAGTGGAGCATGGTGATTCAGTGGAGATGACAAAATCGTCATGCTAATTTAGGGTAGCAAAGGTGGTTGTAGGTGGTTGTGTTTGACTAGAATAGCACATTATTAACCTTTTTACCACCAGATATTCTTACTCAAATTTTTCTGCATTTTTGTATATTCTACAATATTTCTCGAAATGAACCTTAATTTTGGAGCCAACACACAAAATTTGAGTCAATTTGCAGTTTTTACTCAAAAAAATTTTGCATTTTTTTGTCTCAATGTTTTGAAGGAAAGTGTAGACTGTAAGAGGACTATTTTGTGAATTTGTGATGAAAAAAAAGGGAACTGGTGGATGAAAATGTTACTGCCTTTGTTATAGGCACATGATCTCACTGACAGCTCTGTCATAGTCCTTGCCAGTAGTGCCACATTCCAATGTATGGAACCTTCAACAACTGTGAAATAATTTATTTTAGCTGGAATAAATTTTTCGCTGAAAAGACATTTTGGATGTTTTGTATGGAATTTATTTTCACTGCGTTGAATGTAAAATATGAGAAAAAAAGTATATTCACTGGATTTTATTTTCACTGAATAATTCTTTCAGCGAAAATTAATTCAAAGCGAAAAATAAAGTATTTTACAGTAATTACATTGTCTATCCAGTTGCATTGCTGAAAGACAAATCTTTTTTCATTTCACCGAAGCATAATTGTTTTTTTTTTCAGTTGAAGAAGTACAGAATGGATTTACAGAAAGCTGTCAACGTAACCATCAATACGATAGCGAATCAATCTGGTAGTCACCTCATAGAAAAAGTACAGCGATTACATTCCCTGCTGTCTGGAAGATCGGTGCCGGTGCAGGCAACTGGGAGACAAGTAAATGCGCCCAGCACTCATGTGGAAAAGCATTTTGTAAGGAACTGCTAGCCAAAAAAATTGTTGTAAGTTGTGTTAAAAATAATTGATGAATGTTGTGAACTGCTAATTATCATTTTTTATTTTTTTTCTGGACATCTGTAAAATCAAACCAAACAATTAAATAATTTACTTTCCTGCCCACCACATTCTTGAATAGTGTAAATCACAGTCAGCTGGAGCATTAAATGTGATATGTACTAATATGGGGGTCGCCATCTTGAATACAACATGAAACTAAATAAAGAAACAAGTTGTGAAA